ATAGATAATTGCAGATATTCACATTAATGGTCCTAGAACATGGCCTTACTCAGTACCTTGATGTATACAAAGAGGGTACAGGCATCGTGTCTAGTAATCAGTACTTTGGATCATTGTTGCTGGTATGTGTAGCCGTCTGAGTGCTGAGGTCATAATGGTTAGCACCACTCGGCAGTCATTCAAAGGCAGTGGTAGGGGCAGAAAGCATCCTTTCCTATTGCTCGGTCCACAGACAAAATTCTGCACATTAATAATCTCGAGCAAAGAGCCCATTCATGGTTAACATGCCCCGAATTCAAAAGCGGGTATGAGGAGATGCATTCCTACTCCAGTGGAAGAGATGGACAACTGCAGTTATGCACATTGAAGTCCAAAAGAAAGGGCTTTACTTGAATAGCATCTCCTTGCTCTAAAGCAAGGAGGGTACAGTGGTTCTGGTATAGAATATGCTTAGAAAATTGCATTTGTGCACATGAAATTTCCAAGTGAAATGGTCTTGAGTAGTGGGCACTGCTGCTCAAAATGCCAAGGAAATAGCTGAGGTCCCTATCTAGTGCACAGAACGGGAGAAAATGCAATTGCAGATTTAACAGCCCAAAAAGAGGGCTTTCGCTGATAAGCACGCTCTGCTGTACTGCACAGGGAAACTGAGGGGTAGGACCTTAGTCCACTGATGAAGACAACAGACAGTTTCACCAGTCCACTAGAAGGGGCACTGGGGAAAAACCGTATCTCCTGCAGTAGTGCAAAGGAGGTACAATAGTCCTGGAAACGATGAGGTTGTGGAAATTGCAATTCTGCACATTGTCAAAATGTAAAGGTCTTAGCAGTGGGCATCGGGTACTGGAAGGCATGGTAGGGGCACTGTCCTTGCCTAGTGCACAAGAACCCAGATAAATGCAATTGTGCACATTACTAAGCCAAGAAAAGGAGATTTAGGGGTCAGCAACCCTGGTATACTACAAACTGAGCAATAGGGTAGGATGAACTAAGTTGAAATTCTGTACCTTAATGTCCAAGGGCCATGGTGTAGTCAATTAAAGTCATGTACCTTGTATAAATATAAAGATCTTAAAGTGGCTGACACTCCTTGCTAAAAGGTTAAAGTAGTGAAGAGAGGGATGTCCTCATATAACGTACCGGAACATGGACAAATGCATTTATACGCAATAACGAGCCATGGAAAGAGGCCGTTGTGCTCAGTACCCCTACTGTACTGATCGGAATGTGGGTCTGAGAGGGGTGATTCTTATTCAAATGGGATGAGCCATGTGCAATTACGTACATTGATATCCCAGGTGTATGGCTGTACTGAATTACAGTTGTGCACCTTGACTATCCAAGTGTAACAGTCTTGTGCAGGGGAGTAGCGAGATGTATCCTTGTCTAGTGCACAGAAACACAAATGCAATCCCACATCTTAACAGGCCAAGAAATGGGACCTTAAGGGTCCGAATCCCTGCGGTACTTCAAAGGGAGTGTGAAGGGGAAAGAAGTATTCTAATGTAATTATTATGCATAATAACGCTTTGAGAAAGAGGCCTTAAGTGGACAATACCCCATGAAGTAAAGCAAACAGGGTGTGAAGAGTCTGGAACCTAAGTTAACTCAAAGGACCTTGAACAACTAATTAAACATGTCCACAGTCCCAAGAGAAGGGCTTTAAGGTCATAACTTCTGCTTCCATAAGTGTATGAGTCTTGATCTAAAAGGCTCAGTTATGGATAACCGAGAGTGTGTACAAGACAACTAAAACTGTGCACATTAACTGCATTAGTGTGTAAGGTGTTAATAGTAGTCACCTCCTGCTAGAATGTAAATATGATGGGGAAGGTCTTTACCTGATGTACAAGTACAGGAGCAAATGTAAATATGCACTTGAACAGTCCAGGAGAATGATCTGCACCTAGTCAGAAGCCCCTGTAATAATGTAAGTGGGGCAAAGAAATAGGATATTTCTCTAACATAAGGGAGCATGGATTACTGTAACTATGAACAAAGGAGCCATAGTTGGTCAGCACCCCTGGTGTAACAGGTATGATGCAGTTGATCTTAGTGCAATTTTCTACATTAACTACCCAAAGTAAAGACTTTTCAGGGTATTATTTATCAGGAGAGAATATAGAATATAGAAAGGATGAATATTAGGTTAAAGTGAGGGGCCATAAACATTGGAACTCTACACAAAATTAGTCCCAAAAAAAGGCAACGTAAGTAATTAATATGCCTTCTTGCAAAAAGAAGAGAGTATAGGGGTCTTAAATGAAGACAGTGTAGTCAATTACCATAATTCAATTTTTTCCAGTACAAAAGTCCTTACAAAAGGCATCCACTGCTGAATATAAGGACAGTGAGTAAGATATCTATCTACTGCAGAGGAAGGACAAAACATTGCATATTAACAGCGCAAAAAAAGAAGACTTGGTATTCACACTTTCTTCACTAATGCTAACAGGTGTGAGAGGTTGGATTCTACCTTCACAATCCCAAGTACCCCGTGTTGTAATGCAAAGTGTATTGGATGGGATGTGTCCTCCAAGTACAAAGGACTGACCTGGCAACAAGCCCCTTAGAGTCCTCAGTTCTCTTTGTTCACTATGAGGCAATGTGGTGAGTACCAGGGATAGGGACTATGCATAAATGGGAGTGAACCGCATTTAAGCCCCTTACAGTCCTCAGCAGATCAGCTCACTCTGCGACAATGTGGTGAGTGGGGGGGTCAAACCTCAGATAAATAGCACTGTATGGCATTTAAGCCCCTTACAGTCCTCAGCTCCCTCTGGAACAACGAGGTCAGTGGGGTGGGCAGACTATAGAAAAACTGGACTGTACGGCATTTAAGCCTCTTACCAGCCCTCAGTTCGCTCTGCGACAATGTGATGAGTGGGTGAGTAGGGACCTCAGATAAACGAGACTGTATGGCATTTAAACCCCTTAAAAGCCCGCAGTTCGCTTTGCGACATGTGGTAAGTGACTAGTGGGAACCGTAGATAAATGGGACTGTATAGCATTTAAGCCCCTTACAGTCCTCAGCTCCTTCTGCGACAATGTGGTGAGTGGGAGGGTTGAGACCTCAGATGAACAGGACTGTATGGTATTTAAGCCTCTTTCCAGCCCTCAGTTCGTTCTGCGACAGTGTGGTGAGTGTGGACGGGCGGACTATAGAAAAATAGGACTGTATGGCATTTAAACCCCTTACAGTCCTCAGCTCCCTCTGCGACAATGTGGTGAGTGGGAGGGTTGAGACCTCTGGTAAACGGGACTGTATGGCATTTAAGCCCCTTAACAGTCCACAGATCGCTTTGCGACGTGTAGTAAGTGAGTAGTGGGAACCCTAAATAAATAGGACTGTATAGCATTTGAGCCCCTTACAGTCCTCAGCTCCCACTGTGACAATATGGTAAACGGATGAGTGGGCACCTCAGATAAACGGGACTGTATGGCATTTAAGCCCCTTACAAGCCCTGAATTCGCTCTGCGACAATGTGGTGAGTGGGGCATTGAGACCTCAGATGAATAGGACTGTATGGCATTTAAGCCCTTTACAGTCATCAGCTTCCTCTGTGACAATTTGGTGAGTGGGTGAGTGGGGACCTCAGATAAACAGGACTGTATGGCATTTAAGCCCCGTAACGGCCCTCAGTTCACTTTCTGACAATGTGGTAAGTGGGTAATGGGGACCACAGATAAACGGGACTGTATGGCATTTAAGCCCATTACAGTCCTCAGGTCCCTCTGCGACAAGGTGGTGAGTGGGGGGGTCAAGACCTCAGATTAATATGACTATATGGCATTTAAGGCCCTTAACAGTCCACAGTTCGCTTTGCGACATGCAGTAAGTGAGTAGTAGGGACCCTAGATACATAGGACTGTATAGCATTTAAGCCCCTTACAGTCCTCAGTTCGCTCTGCGACAATTTGATGAGTGGGTGAGTAGGGACCTCAGATAAACGGGACTGTATGGTATTTAAGCCTCTTTCCAGCCCTCAGTTTGTTCTGCGACAGTGTGGTGAGTGGGGACGGGCGGACTATAGAAAAATAGGACTGTATGGCATTTAAGCCCCTTATCAGCCCTCAGCTCCCTCTGGAACAACGAGGTCAGTGGGGTGGGCGGACTATAGAAAAACGGGACTGTATGGCATTTAAACCCCTTACAGTCCTCAGCTCCCTCTGCGACAATGTGGTGAGTGGGAGGGTTGAGACCTCAGATAAACAGGACTGTATGGCATTTAAGGCCCTTAACAGTCCACAGATCGCTTTGCGACGTGTGGTAAGTAGTGGGGACCCTAGATACATAGGACTGTATAGCATTTAAGCCCCTTACAGTCCTCAGCTCCCACTGTGACAATATGGTGAGTGGATGAGTGGGCACCTCAGATAAACGGGACTGTATGGCATTTAAGCCCCTGACAGTCCTCAGCTCCCTCTGGAACAATGAGGTCAGTGGGGGCAGGCAGACTATAGAAAAATGGGACTGTATGGCATTTAAGCCTCTTACCAGCCCTCAGTTCACTCTGCGACAATGTGGTGAGTGGGTGAGTAAGAACCTCAGATCAACAGGACTATATGGCATATAAGCCCCTTAACAGCCCTCAGTTCGCTTTGCGACATGCGGTAAGTGAGTAGTGGGGACTCTAGATAAATAGGACTGTATGGCATTTAAGCCCCTTACAGTCTTCAGCTCCCTCTGCGGCAATTTGGTGAGTGGGAGGGTTGAGACCTCAGATAAACGGGACTGTATGGCATTTAAGCATCTTACCAGCCCTCAATTCCCTCTGAGACAATGTGGTGAGTGCGGGGGTTGAGACCTCAGATAAATAGGACCGTATGCTATTAAGCCCCTTACAGTCCTCAGTGCCCTCCGTGACAATGTGGTGAATGGGGGGGGGTTGAGACCTCAGATTAACGGGACT